AGGAGCTGATCGCAAGACCTTGGACTCTGATTCAAAGTAATTAGGGGGGCTGTGACTCCTGGCTCCGGGCGCCTCCACATTCTATATGCATCGTAATCAGGACCCAACCATGACCCCTGTTTTTGAAGTCGTAGTTGTGTCCATATATACCTGAAAGGCCCCAAATGGTGATATGTCGATATTATAAGTTCTGTTTGAACTTGCCACGTGATTTGTACGTTGAATCTTACGCCAATTGGAGGCCACGGGGTTCAAACGAGGGATTACCCGCCATTTCACATAAGCAGTTAGTTCATAGTAAAACAAAATACATAGCACATACAACATCCCATTTTTTCTCCCCAAATATTACATATGTAATACTGTGTTATATCTCTACAGGGTTTATGTCAAGCTTCGCCGTTGTCCTTGGGTAATGGATGTGTACTCTGTACCAATAATAGCGATCTCTCAACATACCATACTAAACAATAATACTCATATTAAGAATTAAACCTCAATTATGGTACATCTCTTCCAAAGTTCATTTTATGGTGCCCTCTTTCCCTGTGTGGCTCTATCATATACTCATCAGGACTAGCAAAATGAATTCATTGAGGACTCCAGGTAGCCAAATTTCGCATGAAGATCTACATAGATCATTTATTTCTGCCATTTTCAATATCAAGGTCATATTATTTGTGCCTCACCTCTATTGAAGCTATATCACACCTTAACAACTGAAATGAATAACGGATTGCTATATCCAGTTCGAGAAGAATGTTCACCAGTGAAGCCAAGCCCGTTTACAGATGCAGGACGATTGGCATAACCTCTCAGCCAATCGCAGATTATTACCAGATCAGATTCCAGATTTGTACTCCGTACAACCAGCAAAGCAGATAAGCTCCACTATTTGCTGGGAGGCAAGGGGACGGCGATCTTCATTGGCAGAGTGATGGAACGGCCCTTATTAACGTCCCTCTGCTGGGCATTAATCCAAGCCCCAGGAGGCAAACTTCAGCTGCAAGCCACGCGATACAATGTAGTTCTCCGTTTAGAATCGGCATGCTTCGGAAGTTCATCCATTCCGAGTGACGCTGGACGGGTGCCTCGCCAGGAACACTACCTGCAGCAAGGAGGTCCGGCCTGCTGGTACCTGAGATCTCCGCAGGTCTATGTACTATCCTCGCATTAGACAGTCTCTGTGGTTTATGGGCTCTTTGTGCTGGTTATGACAGGATGTCCAGCAAAAGCTTGATTTTTTTTAATTTTCTTTTTCTCTCTTCCCGATGTCCATGTGTACTTGCAATATATCCCGTCTAGATCAAACGGTGTTATTTACGGACTATGGCTTCTTCAATGCCGTCCTTTAGTGGACGATTCTGGGACTTGACATAAAGTATGGTCGACGCGTAATTAACTAGTTAGTTACCTAGGTACGTAGCTAGGGCCGACCCTCCGGGCCGGCCTCGTACTAAAAAGAAAACATTAGAGAGTTAGCCAGTTTATTATATTAAGACTAAATATTAAAGAAAAAGCGAGAGGCCCCCCGTTAACGTATTCGGTAACCGAGCTGGACACGCAAGCGAGCTGGGCAACCCGAAACACCATAGTAAATGCGATATATTCTACACTTGTATCTCAACAACCACGCATTTCTTTTATTTCCTTATTTGTCGATAGCCATTGATAAGGCTTACTAGTACTATATGTCAATTTCAAGCAAATTAAGACGCTATAATATCATCATTGCAAAAATTACTGATAATTACGTTACTAAGAGCTAGAAATATATATATTTCAATCAATAGGTTATAGAAACCCTCAAAACCCTCTAAAAGCGCTATAAAACACCTAAATAGTATTGAACTAGAAGTAAAAGTCCCTAAAGACTACCGTTGTTGAGATATCAAGTTGTAATATATCGCATTCACTATAGTGTTTTGGGGTGTCCAGCTCGCTTGCGTGTCCAGCTCGGTTACCGAATACATTAACTAACTAAATAACCAGGCCAAAAGATCATAACAACAATCGGAGTGTCCGATTGTCGTTGTAGTGGTATATATCCTAGGCCCTAACATCCGTTAGGGACCATAAGCCGTGGTCTTTCCGCTGTCCCCCAGGATATGGTGTAATCCAGGGGAACAGCGGAAAAACCACGATTGTACGTGGTGTTGTGGGAGATGATCATGGTATTTCCGTATAGGCGGTTTTATAGATCTAATTAGGACTAGTGCTATATGTCTCACTAGGTTTAGCGCATGATTGTCCCGTTCTAGAAACATCGTAGGGTGGATACATCGAACTAGGCGGGATCTCGACAATCTACCGACCGATTGACCTACAAGGCAATGAAAATTCCGCATATAGGTCGGTATATTTGAATAAGGAGAAACGCCTTATTTTATGCGAAGTGATGATTCTGGTGAAAGCTGAACGAGACCCGATATAGATTCGGAACTACCGACAAAGAGCTTGTTCTGATTCAGCGACTTGACGGTGATAGTCATCTAGAATAGCGGATCCTATTTAATAGGGGGCTTATAAATAATATAGCGAGAACCAATTGACTATGTTACTTGCGATGTGGTACTTGGAAATGCTGGCATCCAAAGGGGACTGGAGATTGGAATACGTGGAAGGGAGAAGATTTGCGTCCTGTAGAGAGGGTTCTGTATTAGAAAGGGAGAGTTGTAGTATATACACCTAATGGTGACTAGAAGTACTATAACTGATGACGGTCGTAGCCTGCTGAGTGCAGGAAGCAGACAGGATCGGAAAAGAGGAATATGACCAAGAAACTGAGTTATCAACACGAGTGGGTGGGCGTGGGCGCCTAATCTTTCACCGCCATCAACATCAACGGGTACCAAGATCGATATAGTAAGTCTACATAATATAGCTACTTATTTATATAGATGTTTACCCATGGTCATAGACGCCGCGTAGGAGCGCGGGCCCCATAGGGCCTTATGCTGAACCCACGAAGAGCTGACGGTTGTCATGCGTCATAGCAAAATTTTGATTATGTTTGCCTCGCAGACCTACGATGGTGATGAGCTCGTTAGAGTCAGCCACTCTTTTTGTTACTCAGCATTTGACCGTCCCTTTTCTCTTGTCTATCTTGCCACGATGGCGACACGTATCCTTGAAGATCCACGCGACCCCGATCACAACGTCCGGATTTACGACAATGATGGAGCCCTGCTGGCAGGTAAGCAAAGCTCACTATGCAAGCGAGACTAGAGAATGCGAGAACTCCAGCCAGTAATGTTACATCGACAGCCTTTCGGGTCAGCCCAGACTCAAGCGACAGATACCATACTTCCGAGATGTTGTATCGCTACTGTAGCATGATATTCATCTTCCAGAACCAGTCAGAGTGGTCGATCTTTTACCTGCATGCAAATGGAGTCCATGGCCAGGCGCTCCGTGTTCAAGCTCGAGTCCCCATTTCACCGGGCAACTATATTGTCCTTGATAAAGGTGGGTAAGCGTTGGAACGTCCGTGAATGCTGGCGTTTCTGATGGCAGCTGCGTCATGCTGGCAGACAGTCGCCAACGGCGCATGTCGACTCGTCCCCCCTACTCTATGCATTCCTCATTTTCTATCAGTTTCTAAAACTGTACAGGAGGGCAACCGATCACCGTTCAGCTCATCACTCAGACCGCCCCACGCCGAGTTCGCACTCGAGACTACCGCACTGGATCGGCAGGACAGAACGAAAGAGACCGACTGGTACGTTGGCTTGGAAATAGCGAGAAAGGCATACGTATTTCTTGTGGCTAATCATTTCTACAGCAGAAAAAGTTCCGGGATGGCCTTCGGACAAGAGACACTCATTGTGTAATTTCTGGGCCCCCATTGATCCCCGATGCACAAGACCCATTTCAGACGATGGAAGCCAGCCACATCTTTCCTACAAGCATGATCCAGGAGTGGAACAGAAATAACTACAAAGGTAATTGGATTACCGACGACAGCCCTTCGAGTGAAATCGGAGAGAGTGGCCTCTATTCTCTGCAAAATGGGCTGCTTCTTGATAAGACTGTTCATAGTTATTTCGATGATTTCAAACTAGGGATCGACCCGGATGTAAGCTTCTCTTGAAATTGTAGCATACTCTTTTTTCTGCATCGAAACTGATATTTCACAAACATAGGCAGGCTACATAATAATCATCTTTCGGGGAGACACGGCAAAACTCGGAGGGAAATGCCTCAAGGACTCTGCCAGACACGGTACCAACCCAAGAAACCGAGTCTGTGTACATCTCCTGCGTTGGCATCTAAGGATGTGCGTGTATCGAAATTTGAAGGTCAACGCCGATATTCAGGCCGTGTGGGAAGATGACCTTGGCAGCGATGATGTAGGCCAGATCCTCGAGCAGCCAGATGCTGGACACAGGATGGAGGTAGAGTTGTTCACGCGTCTGGGAGAACGAGTGGCTTAGACGCAAAAACATGCCACCAACGGTCTGGATCAAATACATCGCACTGGAATCCTATCTAACTATTATCGCCATGCTACCAGAATACTTCGCCCCTTGGTATCTGCACACAGCCCCAAATTTTAGACCAAATTATTGGTCAGCTTGATCATTTGGCGTGTGGCTTATGTGCGGCCAGGTGAGGCACACCCGGGTGTGAAATGGGCAAGAGCCGCATTAGCCCCGAGCGACCGGGGGCAGACACTGTTTAGAGACCCCCAAACCTGTCGATCAACACGCAATCTGAGACATATGTAAACTCATCAGGGTAGAAAACTCGCTGTAGTGCTGCATGATTTATTTTATTCTCATTTCCTAACTCCTTCCCTCCCCCCACTATCTCTCTCTCCCCCTCTCTGTGTATATCTGTGCCTCTCCCCCATCTTTCAGGGCTATATCTTTATTGCCTATATGTCGGTTTTGATTGAATCATCACTCTAAAACGGATCTTTCCAGTTTTTCAAGTCATTGCAACTACATGAAATGGATACACATGAAATGGATGAACTACCAATTCTTACTGGAACCATGTCATCAATTTCAGCGGCGTCAGAAAACCCCAAAAACGTCAGCCGACCTATTGATCGTGACACAGAGAGTGGATTCCAGGCCGCTCCTCGACCAGCCAAAGACACGGTATTTGAGCAACATGAGACAAAGCTTTCATATACCAAGGAGGTATCCAAAAATTACGACTGGGAAGGTTCCTGGATCTGGGAAATCGGGTGTGCTATTCTCAGTGTTATCTACCTTGCCCTCTTAATAGGCTTTCTGGGATACGTGGATGGGAAGCCCTATCTCAATTGGCAATATTCCATATCTCCTAATGCAGTCATCTCTGTCATTGCAACTTTCGCCAAGTCAGCGATGCTTGCTTTAGTTTCGGCCTGTCTCGGCCAGTTGAAGTGGAAACAGGGCCGCAATCCAAATCCAACGCAGCTCTATCATTTCCATCTTCTTGATCAAGCCAGCCGTGGTCCTTGGGGATCCCTAAAGATATTCTGGCACTTGAGATCATTTTTAGCATTGGCTGGAGCAGCATTGATGGTCCTCGCTGTTGTGATTGATCCTTTTACACAGCAGATCTTGGCATTTCCATCACGAAGGGTACAAGTGCTAAATGAGACTGCATATGTCTATAAGGCGCAGGAGTTTCATACCAAATTTCATTGGAGCACATTTCAAATGGATGATACAATGCAGATTGCCATGTTCAATGGATTGGCACGTACAAGCGTTCCTCTTGATCCAATTTGTCCTTCGGAATCCTGCGATTATCCCGAATTTACCACGCTTGGAATTTGCGCGTCTTGTGAAGATGTTACAGAAACAGCTACACAAGACTGCCGGCCAATTCCAAGCCCATATTCTGAACCAAACTTTGCCCAAAAATGGGCGAATTGGCATGAAATCCTCTCCAGCCCGACAACCCCTTTCCTCCGCAAAATGGCCGCATCAATCCCTATTGACTGTCACTACTCAACCTCGAATGGATTCACATTGACTCCAAACACTTCTCAGCCCTCGACTTCCAATGGCACTATTCAAATATATCGTGATAGCTTTATAGCTACCACTTCGAGCACAGATCTTTGGGATATTGCCTACGTTTCCATGGCAAAGTACAATTCTGATACCATTACGTACACTACTGAGAACATGAGTGTGAGCGAGCAAAGGCCTCAGATGACACAATGCTCAATTCAGTTCTGTGAAAAACAGTATGCTCAGAACCTTTTTTCGAAGAACAGCACCGGTTTTCAGCCCTCAAAAAGCCAAGTTCTACAGCTCATCGATCACAATACGGGTAACAGAACTTTAACTTTAATACCTAGAGATGGGGGGAATACCTTATCAGACAACTCAACCTACACTATTGAGAGATTGTCCTGGTTAGGGCTCTCCATGCATTTGGGGAGGGCTTTCAATACCGTTCTTAATAGATTTGATGGCGGAGCCCCGCCTAGTGTCGTCCTAGCCACGATTCTCTACAATAGTGACAACATCACCAAATCATTCAGCAGCATGGCCACTAGTATGACCGACAATATACGTTCAGGCATTGCAAATACTCAAGTTGGCGGAAGAGTTTATAAAACTGAGACGTTCATTCATGTCCGTTGGCTCTGGGCTATTCTTCCCATAGTAACCGCCATCTTGTCCATCTTTCTCTTCATGGCTACAGCGATTGTTAATCGGGGTCAACCCGTGCTATGGAAATCGTCCGTTTTTCCACTCTTCATGGGGCTGTTACAGGTTGCTCCGGAACATGAGATCGCCAACCTTCGGCATTTGGACCATATACAGTCTATGTCGAAGGAGATCAAGATTGTTGTAGAAGGAGGGGATAATGGTCCCCTTTTGTTCTCAGAGCGATAAAATGTTGGTGCTATTTAATGTCTATGGAAATAGAGACTGAACATGCTTTTGTGTATACTGCCTTGTGACTTGTTCCTTCTGGTGTATTTTCTTATTGTGGCTTAATAGCATAGTTCACTACCTCAATAATACAAGTCTATTCAGCATACAATCATGTAATTTTGTATTCTGTCTCCTTTCTAACTACTCTGTATGGAGTAGTATATAGTTTCAGATGTAGGCGAATTAGTCGAGGGTGTTTAGCATCGAGGGGACTAAAATTAGATAGTAGGTACAGTAATCGTAGATATATAGCTTCTCTACTTTCGTGCGCAATAGGCGGGTAAACCCTCTCAGCTAGCACTAACCATAGTGATCATTACGGCAGTTGTAGCCGGACCTGGTGTCTGGCAGATGGGTTCCATTGATAGAACAAATCTGACGCAAGGTAGGTGTATTTTTCATTGATAATTGACCAGCAGCTCTCACCGGACTGGGCGAGGTAGTATGTTGAGCAGTCAGAGGTGATACCAGCTTGTGTCGGGGACACGCCAGTTGCTGTGGAAGTGGTGGTTGTCGAGATTGTAGATTTGCTTGTAGTGGTTGTGGCAGTGTCTTTAAGTATTCCGAAGCTCACGTGTCCCTCTACACTATGTAGATTGCGTTATTAGGGATTAAGTTCCAACCCCCGGGCCCTGCAATAATGACTACCTTGCTATGTTCGATTGATTCTTACTATGAGTGAGCAGAAAGCATATCTTCATACATTATGAATTCTATACGGAGTAAGTAGAGCTTCGCCCATTGCATGCCTACGTTGTGGCTATTACCCTTGGCCTCACATCATGTCACAAATTTTATATAGCATATATAAGGGATTATCGTATTTAGATCTATTAGTGGTTTGTGTGGATTTATTGTTTGCTGGGTGTTTTTGTAGTCGGTGTAGTCCACGGGTGCCTACTATCATTTATATATATCGCTCTACTTGCATCTGATACACGTGTTTGCTAATCTTGGCACCCTCGGGAGGTCCACGGGGCTATGATAATATTTAATTCTCTCACAGTGCTGGATCATAATATAAACGGTAAGCCTTTCAAATTACAACTTGCAAGCCTGTGAGGTGGTCCATCTAGTTTGTGGGTTGCACGTTGCCGTGCCAACGTGTCCGTTGACAGCTCAACAGCCGGAGCAACATGGGTCCAACCTTAAAAGAGCAACAAAAATCCCCGGGGTCTCCAGCACCGACCTGGTCAGTGCAATTACGATATCTCATATATTTCGGGAATATCGTTATCACCACCAGCGACCATAGGGTCAACCAGGGGATTGTGTATTGCAATTAGAACAACATCGCGACCATGGCAAGGCTCAACACAGCCAACCCGCTGGTCAAAAACACTCCTCACAAAGAGATTGGTGCCCGTACCCTAGGGACATCCCACAACAGTCCACTCTCGAGAGAGCCATGTTTCAATTTCAGGAACACAGCCAAGCAAAAAATGCCCACCAAGCCGCAAAACCAGTCGCAGCGGCAAGCAAATGGCTCAAGTGGATCATTTGATATATTCCCCGACAACGACTCGGCATCGGAAAGTGAATTTGGACAGCACACTGGAAAGCAGCAAAAGCAGAGGACACTGGGACTCGCTCGTGTGAATTCGTTACTTCTGCCAGCAAAGCGGAGACCACGCCCAGCCATCCGAAGAGAGACTGAAGATTATGACAAGGAGAACGACGTGCCAGAATATGCCACGGATGGATATCGAACTCCAGATTTGACACCAACAAGACTAAACACCTCACGGGCTCCCACGAGAAATAGAATGGATTATATCGCCGCGACACAGCCAGTGATCAACCGCCAAGAAGAACAAGAGGAGCCGGAAATTAGCATTGAAGAAGAAGATAGCTCTGACTCACTGGATGGGTTCATTGTCAGTGACAATGACGAGCCTAGCTCTTTTGAGACATCGGATTCTGAGACAGCCAACACAGAAGATGAACCTAGCCCGGCTCCGTCGCCTGTCAGGTCGCCAAGAAAAAGACTCCTGCGTGGAAGAAGACCAATATCAGAGGCAGAATCCAACACTTCTGTAGATGAGGATTCATCAATGGAAGCGACGAGGTTGGCGACAGAGCTGGACCAATCAACCGAGAAACCAAAGGCAGTCGCCCCAGCACCTGAAGACTGCACGCCAAATCTTGCAACCAGTTCCAAGTCTATATCCCCTGTCAATAGGGCAGAGATACCCAAACCACAGGCTGATTCAAGCTGTCCTCTTCATTTCAGCCTCTACAACTCCAAAGACCTCATCCAACACCTCGAGGATCTTTATCTAGACAGCGACAATGAGTCTACATCGCAAACATATCCAGAACAGCCCAAGTAAGTACCAAATGGCATACATATGAACTCCGAGTCTCTCAGCAATTATTTCGTACTGACTACTTCTCACAGCTCAGAACCAGAGGATGAACTGCCATCGAAACTTTACCCAAGCCACACAAAACAATTACCACCGACACCATCACCCGTCAACTATAACTTTTCTCTCAATAGCTCTATCACATCGGTTGGTAGTTCGCCGGGAAAGGGCATTCTTACCAGCATGAAGGCCCAGAAAAAGGCCGAGGCGGCGCGGAAACGCGAGATTCGAGCCCAAGTGGCCGAATTCAACCAAAAGAAAACCGGCTTTGCCGAAGAATTCCTCCAACACCTTGACAATACCTTCAACAGCCAGATTTCCAGCATGACCAAGGAAACCGGCGGCATCAAAATCATCTGGACAAAGAATTTCAGAAACACTGCCGGACGGGCAACCGTACGTACAGAAAGGGTTCTGAAAGGAGCAGCAGGCGTGGAAGAACCCGGGAAACGGCGTTACTATGCCACCATTGAGCTCTCCGAGAAAGTCCTAGACAGCGAGGACAAGATCCTCTGCACGATGACACACGAGTACTGCCACCTCCTTGATATGATGGTCACTGAAAACAGAGCCAAGGGCACGGCGCAGCACGGTGCCAGCTTCAAGCAATGGGGCGACCGATGTGTCCGCGCACTGGAAGGCCACCCTATCTACGGGGGCCGGGTCAAGGTCACAACTAAACATACCTATGAGATCAACCACAAATACATCTGGGCATGCAAGGTCCAGGACTGCGATTTCAAGGTCGGGAGACACTCGAAGAGTGTTGACCCAAAGCGTCAATTCTGCGGCCGGTGCAGGGGCGTTCTCGAGCAAATTAAACCGGTGCCGAGGGCTGTAGCGCCGAGGAGGCCTGTTGTAAAGGCAATGGCCGAGAGGGAGATTGTGGTTATTGATCCTTGATATCTAATGGACCGATGATGATTGTACATATAAGGTTACGTCGGAGAGTGTGTAAATATAAATTTCACGTTTTCAGGTTATTCTACGCCAATGGGGCACAAGAAAATTTCATATTTTGCCCATGGTAATAATAATCTTGATCTATATCTTTCCGGTCTCAGCAGGCAAATCTCATACCGTTGGAACAAGATTCGACAAAGTTTTCAAATTGAAATCCAAGAATACATAGAACACAGGCCAAATTATGAATGCAAACCAAATATTATAGAGCTCGGCCAATGCTGGTAGGAGATACCTGCAGTCTACTCTACGTGTCTTCCGGATCTAGAATTCCCAAGATTTCCAAGGTTTTGGGTTTTATATTGAGCCGCCTTAAAAACAGCTTCCTCCAAAACAACCTCCCTCCATATCGTGCGAAATCACCGCAAAAGATGGCGTCCAGGTACACCTTGATACATATGATCCACTCCCTGTTCAAAAGACAGACAAGCCGCAATCCAAGTCCAACCTTCCACCAATCTTGTTTGCACCTGGAATCAGCGGGATCGACGCAATGCACCATTTGTTTTCACTGCCATTTTTCCGCTGCAACATGGTAGAGTATTTCACGCAGCGTGGATACCGATGTTACGCACTCACTCCTCGGTGGGGCTGCGATGCCGCCGTTGCCCAAAAAAGCACTGTCTTTGACAGCCGTCTTGACGTTGCTGCTGCGATAGCATATATCTGTGAGCAAGAGCAAGAGAAGCCCAAGAAGCCCTATGTGATAGCTCATTGCCAAGGCTCGGTGGCTCTCTGCGCAGAACTACTGGATGGTACTATCCAGGGTAGCCAACTTCTCGGTATTACCGCCAACTCAGTCTTCATGAACCATGTCTTTGGATATTGGAACTCCCTCAAAGGAAGAACGACCCTACTGATCCAGTTTTACAAATTCATGGCTGGGAATTACTTCTCAATTGTCAGCAATGCTAAGAGTGATCTTTTCCAACAATTACTCGATACTCTCCTTCGTTTCTATCCTGTTGGGCACACGCGAGACGTCTGCACGTCTACAGCGTGCCACCGGTTATCGTTCGGTTTTGGGTTGCTATGGAACCACGAGAACCTTGACAAGGGTCTTCATGACAATTTCCACCAAGCTCTCGCGGGGGTCCATACAAGGTTGATGAAGCAAGTGGTTCGCAGCGGAACTCGGGGATCCTGCATGGATAATGATTCACGCCCTCTTTTGACGGCTGAGAATTTACAACGGCTGCAACGGTTACCGATTCTATTTGTCTCGGGTACGGATAACCAAGTATTCAATCCTGAGACTACCCTCAAGGACTATGAGTTGTCGCGACGAAAGTTTGGCGAGAAAATTTGTCGCAGATTTCTAGTCAAAGGGTACGGGCATATTGATCCTATTGTGAAGAAAAATGCGGCTGATGATGTGTATTGGAGAATCTTTGGACATTTGTACTGGTGCACCAAAGAGATGGAAAATATGAATGTGATGACCAATGGAATATGAGTGAATGCATGGAGGTTGAGGGCATCGGGAGGGCTACACCGCCATGCCTCTGCAGGGATAGGGGCTTAGGGTTGTAGTCTCCTCCATTAATGCTACTTTCGGTTTGTCTATAACGTATATCTATCGCATATACAGCTTTCCAGCATGGTCCAATTCTGTGAGGACTGTGGCCACCTTCTTCCAGTATCACCAGCAGAACAGATTTTGTGTGATCTATGTGGAAAATCCATGAAAAGTGAGTGATACCAACCGTCATGGAAGATTTTCTTGCTGATACTCTTTGAACTTTAGATACAATGCTTACTGATGTCCAAGTATCTTCATCGACCAATTTTCCTTGAGGCTTCGGACCAAACTTCTTTCTAAAACCCAGGTTGTCTCACAAAAAGATCTTGGAGACGGTCCTATAACGGAGATGGAATGTCCCCAGTGCTCGAATCCCAAAGCTACCTGGACTGAGGCGCAAATTCGAAGTGCCGACGAAGGAAGTACTATCTTTATTGTTGCACAAAATGCAGACATAGGTATTCCGACGCCCTTCTTCATCGTCGACACTTTTTCTGATACTTGGATTTAGATGGCAAGAAAACAACTGAACTTTTGCGGGAATCGACAACTATGATAGTTCATAAATATTCCTCCAAATTATGCAGTTAACATAGTGGATCGATTAAACTACTCCGCTAAAAATCAAGACCAACCAATAAAATAGACGAATCTATACTATTATGTGGGACCCCAATCACTCGCAGTCGCTTGGATAGCCTCACCTTACATCCGGGAGGCGAATAGACCCACAGCCCAAGACCGGTTCCTGAATTGCAAAATGAAAAGAATTTACTGAAACATAAAGCCTCACCTAGACATACCCCAAAGCATCATGTCTCAACTCGTATATATCACCACAGAACCCTCAGACCGGATTCGCGTAGAAGGAATCACCCAGACACCCGATTGGATCCACCCGCAGTTAATTGAAAGCATCGACGCGATCAAAGGCCGCCAATTTCGCGTCTCCGGTCCCATCCCCAAAGGCGCCTGTCTCCTCGTCGATTCCCCCTACGCAGTCATCCCCGTCGTCGACGAACCCGCCCACAACGACAATCTCATCTGCAGCAATCCCGCATGTAATCGACCGGCGCCTCGCCATGCCCGGACTTTATGTCCGAACGCCTGTATCCCGGATGTGACGTGGTGCGGTAGCATATGCCGCGACGCTGATAGTCTTCGACATGACTTTGAATGCGCTTGGCTCAAACGGTATGCCGGGACTATTCGATCTAAATGGGGTGAATATGATTTCGGCATGCTGTGGGTGATTCTTCGGCTGCTTGCTGCGCGACATTGCCAATTGCATGAGAGGACGGCGGTTGGTGTTGCCGAGTCAACGAAACATTGGAAGCATGGTTGGAGTGGAATTGAATCGCTCTGTGGTTCTGAGGAGACTTGGCCCCATGACAAGGTCCGGTCTTGGTCTACTCTTGTGAAGAAGTATCTCCGGAGCAGTTCTGCTCTTCCTCATGAGATGAGTGCAGATTGTGTTCTCCATCTCATTTGTCAGGAAGAGGCAAACTCATTTGGGCTTTACCCAAGAGAAACAGGTCATTTCCCCGTGCCAAACCCTCCTGTCGACAGAGGGGAGCAGTTCGCTGCTGCTGTTTATCCCACTGCGGCAATTGCTAACCATTCATGTCTGCCAAATGTAAGTGGATATCTTCCCCGGGGCCTGAATTGGTGGAATTAATGCTAAGTGATCACAGATTATCCATAAAGCCGACGACAAAGGCCGTATGGTCTTTACCGCCTCCCGCGACATTTTTCCGGGCGAGGAATGCTGCATCTCGTACTTCGACTTGACACAACATACGGATCTTACTTCGCGTCGTGAACACCTTCGGAAATCGTTCCGTTTTGTGTGCCAGTGTGAACGATGTGTTTCCGAAGAGTCCACGGACGAATCAACCGAATGGACTGCAATGCCCATGATGGATATGTGAAAATCACTGACTATAAAATGACTAGATCTATAGAACCTTACTACATAGCACTATACCAAAATACACGTTTTTATTTATGCATAGATTAACACACCTGTGTAATCCTTTGAACACACGAGATATTGCAAGTCAACTGTTATTTCTATCTACTCGTCCCAAAGCGCATATGGCACTTCCCTATTCCAACCCAGCTATTACAGCCATTTCCTCCCAATAAAACCCCAATCCCAATCCCAATTCAAATCCACCATGTGTCATCCAAATCATATGGGAAAAAACGCTTAAACAAAGAGGCCCCAATCACAAATCTCCAATTTCCCAAGCAAAGCCCCAATAGTCTCCTCAGCAAGAACCTCCTCAAGAGACAACCCCCTAGGATCCCCATTCTTATCAAACTCCTCATGAGGCACATTAAAGAAGACCAACAAATCCGTCTCCTGCGCCTCAAGCCTAACAAGCAAGAAATGACACGTCAACCTCGAAACCTGAGGCAAACCATTAGAATCGCCATTCATCTGCGCACCGAGCACCCCGGCATCCGCAACACCAGCAGCAGACCCCTCAGCAGACGCAGGGACGCGTCCAGCACCGCTGCCGCGCACCGGCGTAGTGAAGGAGACAACGCCGCGATACGCCTTGATAGCGGAAGCGGGGGTAGGTGAGGACGAAGCAAGCTGGACTTCGACGCGCGTGGGCGACTTGATCACTTGCATAGTGTCGCCTTCATCGCAGAGATCGTGCAGGTGGTACAGGGCTGCGGCTTGGTCGACTGTCTCTGCGGTTGCAGGTGCTGCGCTGCCGCTGCCTGGGGCGGCGGTAGGTTGCTGGTGGTTGAGCGTGGCGAAGGTGTTAAGAGCTTCGGCTTGTGGGACGCGCTGGTTGATTTCGATGATTAGGTTGGAGAGAGTGGTTGGTGAGAGCCATAGCTCTTGGTGGTCGGGGACCTCGCGGAGGGTGCTGGGAATTGATGTTAGTTGGGGTTTCCTTTTTGATTGGGATGATTTGGGATGGAATGAGGAATGGATTGAAGTAATAAAATGGGAATTTGATACATAGGAAGGGATTTATACTAACCTCGAATCAATCCAGCCTTGGGGCACGACGCCTCGAATGGCTCCGCCGAAGAACTCTTGCTCTGTGAATTGAGACATGGTGGAGTTGATTTGTGTTGCAAAGCGAAAGAATTTGACCTTGTTTTTCTTTTCTTTTTTTTTCTTGAGAGGATGTTCAGTTGATTGTGCAAGAGCGAATTTAAATCCGAATTCTTCGAGATAAATTGCGGATTTTTTCCCCGGTTCCTTTTTGCTTGGGGTTCAACAATACAGAAGAAGACAAGCAATACTGGAGAGTAGCACAAATTAACAGAGACTATATATGTTCAAAATATAGAATCCGTTTAGGTAGACGAGCAAGACGTGCATGAGGCAACAGTGCGGGCGGGTGTTTTCCGCCCAATGACGTTTGGCAGTTTGGTGGGGTGTTGACTCAATATACGACTATACGAACAAACTACATTAAGTGACTTTAAGTCAGACATTTAGGGAATTTGAGTCATGATAGTTAGAAAATATCTTGGTTTCATTTGAGATGGAAATGCTAAGTAAATCCCCGTCATTTCAGCGCGGAGTCTGGCTTCGCCATTCACTCAAACAGTTCCTCCACGTACCGGTCCAGTTCGACCAGCTTGAAACGGTCTCCCCACTGAGTCCGAAACTCCTTCTTCCGGTATGCATAGCTAGTGCCCTGCGAGAAGCTCACAAGTTCAACATTCCAGCCGCGCTGGAGCGCGCGCTCGACCATCCTCATGAATCCACCAGAGAACTCAGCCACTGCCGCATCCCCTGTCGCCAACACAATCGTCGCAGCATCCTCTATGTCCAAAAGGCTCTCCAGGATCTTCAGGTGCAGAATTTCGTCTACCCCTTGCTCAACCCATCGTTCCCCAGAGGCGGCGACCGTTTCAGGACCGCTAGATAACCCCTGGGAATTGTAGCCATGGTTCTTCCGGGACTTGCTATTGCGACGAGGTGTGACGGTCTTTACTTTGTGCACACGCTCAAGGATATTAACTTCGTAGCCGAGTCTCTCGGCTTCGTCAACCGATGGGAGGCGATCCGAGCCGACCAAGACTCTCTTGGCGGCCTGGCGGCCGCGTTCCAAGATCAATGCGAGGTTAGCGAAGGACATATGAACACGACGGATTCGGGTTGAGAGAGGGATATTGCGCGAGGTTTTTACTGAATCGTGAAATCCAACCATGATCTGAGATGAATTAGTCCGAGAAGAGTTGGGTAGAGGGGAGACGGAAACATACATTTGACATGTCAACAAAGACATGAATGGGACGTGAGCCAATGCCATCATTGGGACGATGATCTGAAGCCAGTCCCACTTGAGACACAATTTTTGCGTACGCAGGGAAGTGGCCAAGGAGTCTGGTCATCAAGATGACTCTTCGCTCCTCGGCCGGTCGGTGCAGGGTAGACCGCACAGTACCGCTCGAAGCATGTCCTCGGATGGTGTTGGCATTCAGTATCCAGTCATTATCGTCAAACGATGATGGTGGGGTATCATAAGTGTGAGTCTTCGCCCCAGGCGCATAGACTTGAGATGGGGTAAATGAAAAAGCCACAGGTTTCTCAGAAACGGGATGGTCGAACACAATACTGGTGTCCGAGTCTAGGCCAGCGCTTTCTTCGGAGGTGATTGGGTTATTGCGCGTGTTCTTTCGGAAATCTTTTCCATGAGATCGAGTCTTGGGTTTTGTGGGAGTATCACTTGGATCACCAACTCTAGGTCTAACAATCACCACAGGAGGGGTTTTTGGACCACGGGCACCAAATTCCACATTGGCACTCGTTCCAGAAGGCTCATGGCCCAAGGTCCGCCTCAAGATAGTGAACGATTGACCCTCAAGATCGATAGGAATACCTGTCGCATGCGCGTTTGGACGAGAAGAAGAATTGGAGACATAACCAGTGGTGGTGTCTTTGAGGACCTGAGAGACTGGCTCATTGGTGATGCGAGAGGTGTTGGATGAAGTGGGCACGGATGTTTTAATGCCATACAAGCCAGAGAATGAAACCTTTTTGGTGGGTCTTTCCGCCGAGCTAGAGAGCATTTCTTCAAGTGATGGCTGAAAATTCTCCAGCTCAGACTTGGTGGTCTTTATAGTCCCTAATGTTGGTGCGACGCTCGCGGGAGCAGGGCTCCCGTTGAAAAGCTCCCAAAGAGAACCAAAGTCACCAAGCTTCGGGTTACTCCGCTGAGAAACAATATCCACGAGCCTACCATTAGTGGTGTAACGGGGGTCATCCTTTGCTTGTTCACCAAGCGAGGGGACTGTAGCTTCATTGTGGCGACTAGGTCTCGCTGTGCAGCCCTCGATGGGCGACCGCAGTAGGTCATGCACTGGAGTAAAGTCCCAATTTGAAGGAACAGGGGGATATGACGTGAGCATTGATGGCTAGATGAGATAGATGTAACGGGTGTGTAACGAGTTCGTGTGTTGAAGTTTGGATGGTAGCAAATGAGATAACGATGAATTCAAAGATGTTGTCACTAAGCTAACGATCGGGTTGATAGTCACAGATAATGAGATGACAATGCACGAAGAAGAACGAATCTTATCCACATGGTGAGTCAGAACGAAAGGATGAGGGATAAAAGCAAACAAGTTGATGGACGACTACAGTTGATGCCCGAGCAGGGTGACGGAGGCGGTGAGTGGGTCTGCCACATATAACCGACCGCCTTATGCTGTTTGTTCCCAATTAGGCTTAGTGTCCGAGTGTGGGGTATGGATGTTATCAAGTCACGTGACACACATGACAGCCGAAAAGAATGAATCATGTGATTTCAACCTTAAAGCCTTGGTTTGGATCCTCATGATGTCATATCTGGAGAAACTGGGAGAGCCTGAAAATCCATTGGGTGCCACAGCCTGTACGTAGTGAAAGGTCATCTACAGCCAGGAACTACGCTGATTGGAGGAATCTTTATTAAATTAGAGATTGTGGCTAGTCCGGGGTCCCGGCCTTGGAAATAGATTGTATACTCCGTACACATTACCTAGTTGGCGTCCATTGTGAATATAGTAAGTCGATCACGACAGCAAACGACGTCATGTCACCTCTCCTTATGAGCTATGAGGGCAAACAAAGCTATATAAACTCCCCTCTTTGACTCCTTCGCTATTCTTCCTTCATCAGCATCTACTTCAATCCAACTACACAGTTTACTTCTACTTCCAACCACCAAACTTCAATCTTCATCATGTCTGACATCGGTCGCAAAGATTTCAGCACTAGTATGTGACACTACTTTACCTGTCTGTCAAGATGTTGAGACATTGTTACTGACTACTTCTTTCTACAGAGGCCAAGGAGGAGCTCACTCCCGACTCCACCAAGTCCACCCAGGACAAGGTCAAGGAGACTGTCACCGATACCACTGATCGTGCTAGCCGCGGCTTGCAGACCGATGATAGCAAGGGTGTTCGCCAGGAGGCCTTTGACAAGACTCAGCGTGCCAGTGACAACCATGGCCACGGCGGTGCCACCGGCTCCATGTAAGTTACTCTTCTTGGAACCAAAGAGTCATATTCTAACCATACTTCCAGTGGTGACAAGGTCAAGGGTGCTCTCGGCCTCGGCAACTAAGATGGTCTCCCTTAGGCGAGTGATCATCATCATGGTCACTCCATAACTTCACGGACAGCCCTACACTCAAGGCTCAAGACTCACGAATTTATGATACCAATTACGTTGTTTCAAATAGCCACTTTTCGAATTCATCACATTTTCAAGTGGAAGAATTTTCATTCATTATGTAGACTAAATGTTGTAAGAAGAAGCTAGCTCTACTGAGAGTCTGTAATAATTGTAGCAACTGTAACAAGGAGGCTAATACTAATGCTTAGCTTAATAGCATGTTCAACTGTCTTTGGACCCCGCAGGCATCTTTGAAGCCTTGACTGCCCATAAGGGGAGCTAAATGAACTGATTAGAAGCAAATGCCAACCACTGACATTAGTACCGCTCGTCTATACTGCCATTGAGTCTCGTTGTCGCTTAAGCTGCCCAAGCTCGCGCTCTAGCTCTTTATATTTCGTCCGTGCCCCTGGGGTATTTTTGGGAAGATCATGATACGCCCGCACACGACCCTGCAGCGCCTTGACCGTCTCCCGCATCCTGATAACGTTCTCCTCCTCCGCCATCAGCTCCTCAATAGTCGGCCCCCGGGGATGGACCCTTTCCAGTGTTGCAATGCGATCTTGGTACTCCCCAACCTTGATGGCAAGTGTCTTTGTGCCGCGTGTCCACTCCGACGTCAAGCTTTGGATATCGGAAGGTGTCTCATATGCCAAATCGGTCTTCAATTCCTCAAGCTCCGCCTGTAAGCGTGCCAGCTCTAGCTGGAGATAGCGGTGCAGTGTGTCGACCTTTGCAATTTGTTCCTGCGCCTCAAACTCCTCCACCGTGAGCTCCACAATTGACTGTCCCAGATCGCCCGGGCTCGGGTTCAAAGTATTACCCAGAGCTGCGGCGGAATCGGCGAGGTCCTCTAGATCGCGTCTTCCTGTATCATCCAAACACATCTCGACTTCATCGAGGAGTTGACTCTTTTGCTGTTCGTGGGGATCATTGCGTTCGAACTCTTCCCGTATTTTGTATGCCTGGACAGCCTCTTCGCGTGCTCGCTGTTGTAGAGCAGCCTCTTCGTCTGCAGCATCATTGGCTGCAGCTAGGGTCAGGAGGACGCGGAGTGTATCTTCATTGCGCTCGAACTTGGGGACTGGTATGGGCGCGTATTGTCGATTGAGCCAGGAGTTCACGTATGCCCAATCTTTGGCTTGGATAGCAGCCTGGCGGGCCTTAGCCGGCGAAACGAGTGGACTGTCCATGGGAGCAGGTAGCAATACAATTCCAGAAATGAATGAATTGAGACAAATTAGGAGGGGAGAACAAATAGAGTACCTAGGTGGTGTGTTGACTGACGATAAGATACGGGAAAGGCGGTCGATGCGCCAAGTGCGCGGTTGTCCTCTACCTAGGTACTTCCCCTCGCCGACTCTCCGCTGAGTTGCTCGAACAACAATGACCAGCTACTTTCCACCAAGTGACAGCGCCAGCAATGGCGCCACTGCCCCGACCGCATCATCTCCATTGTCCCCGCCAACGCAGCGCCCGACTGCACTCACCAATCGGCTAACAACAGTTCTGTCGGCATCGTATGCGGACTCGGACATTCGGGACTCCCTCGAGACTTTGAGCTTGAGAGGCATTCACAACACCGCAGAAACACGTCGGCAACTACGACTAGATGTACAGAAGGAAGTTGTCGATTGTAATGCGGAGATTGTCAAGGACTTTGGGAAAGTGGCAGAGGTGAGACTCCTATTACTCCTTTAGGGATTGGGATCTGGAGTTCTAATTCTTGGGCAATAATAGCAATTGAGACGGATCGGAACAGTAGTCTTAACACTTAATCAGACATGCGACGATATGCGCAAACGAATCAGCCTCGCAAAGCAGGATACCACGCCGGTACTCGAGGAGGCTAGCGCTCTGATAACACAAAAGAAAGAGACCGAGACCAAACAACAGCTATTGGAAGCGTTTTCGAAACATTTCTTGGTTCCGGAAGAGGATCTATTGGTCTTGACATCTGCCGAGGAGCCCGTTAACGAGCGGTTCTTTGACGTGCTAGCTCGTGTCAAGCAAGTACACCACGATTGCGAAGTGTTGCTTGGCGGTGAGAATCAGCGACTGGGCTTGGAGGTGATGGAATTGAGCACCCGGAACCTCAATTCAGCATACCAGAAACTATACCGATGGATCCAGAAAGAATTCAGGTCCCTGAATCTAGAGGACCCTCGCATCAGCAGTACGATCCGCCGCGCTCTACGGGTGCTGGCAGAACGCCCAAGTCTATTCCACAACTGTTTGGATTTCTTTGCGGAGGCACGAGACTATGTGCTGTCCGATGCTTTCCACTATGCACTGACTGACGCCGTTTCCGGGACCAATGGGCCCGGCGCCGGTGATCACACTGTCAAACCGATTGAGTTCTCAGCGCATGACCCACTTCGTTACATTGGCGACATGCTTGCGTGGGTGCACTCGACAACTGTATCAGAACGAGAGGCTCTCGAGTCATTGTTTGTCGATGACGGGGATGAACTCGCTCGGGGGATCCAAGCCGGCCTAAACAGTGAGCCCTGGTCGCGTATCGATGAGGACCAAGAAGTTACCTTTGATGGCCACAAGGCACTCAATGATTTGGTCAACCGCGACCTTACTGGAGTGGCTCGATCACTGCGGCAGAGAATAGAGCTCGTCATTCAGAGCCATGATGACCCTGTTACTTGCTACAAGGTGGTTAGTCTGTTGTCTTTCTATCGCACAACCTTCACCAAACTAGTGGGCGCCCAATCGCACTTGGTGGACCTGATTCAGAGCTTGGAAAAGTTCACCCTTGGCCACTTTGAGAGTTTGATGCGCGACCAAATCAGCGTCCTGGCGGGCGACAATATTGCCCTGACTCCACCTGACGACCTGTCGCCCCCACAGTTCTTGTTAGATGCACTGGAAGACCTGGAATTACTGATGAAGACCTATGAGGCTTCCGTCGGACCAGAGGATTCATCTCCAGATGCGAATGAGAACCCGTTCACTTCTGTCCTCCGGGCGGCCTTCGATCCATTCTTGACACTGGCCCGGTCCTCATCAGATGAACTCCAAACTACCACAGCGCAGTCCATTTACCGCACTAATATTCTCCTTGCAGCCCGCGCAGCTGTGTCACCATTCCCCTTTGCCAGCTCCACACACGTACCTCCCATTTCTGCAGCCCTGTCAACCCTACGCAGCGATCTTCTCGACACCCAACACCAATTCCTCCTCGAGACATCTGGTCTCCAAACGCTATTAGAGGCCCTGGAACCTTTCTCTGACACTGCCGAAGACAAGACCGAGGAGCCCGACCAGCAGAAACCCCATCTAGCCGACCTGGCCAATCTCCCCGCCTTCCAACCAGAGTCCTTGATTACATCCAGTCAACAACTTGACGATTTCCTCCCATCTGCGCTTATGGATGCAACCGATAACCTGAAGCGTGTCCAAAGCCTTTCCCTTATTCAAAGTGTCACTGAGGATGCAGTTGAGGCATTCTGCCGTGATTTCGAGTTCGTTGAAGGCATGATCATTGCTGCGGACGAGGCTCGAGGAACTGTGAATGTGGCCATTGGAACCGGGGACAGTGTTAGTGGCCAGAGTGGTAAATCCGATGGCACAGAAGCGAGCGAGAAGGAAGAGGTTGAACAATGGAGTTTGAGGTCGTTGTTCCCTCGAACGACAGGGGAGATTCGAGTGTTGTTGAGTTGATATACAGTTCAATCTATAAATGTACAAAACGTTCGTCCACAACTCTAATTTTTGGGCGCTTTTTTAGCTTTGCGCTAGAAAGGGCGACCCTATCAGGATGCAGACAGATGTTTGACTCCCGTTTGCTCGTTTCATGCATTTCGAGACCGACAATATTTACGTTCTCACCAATGGCATTAGGTCTTTCGGCTGAGCCATAATTTTGTGTCCATCTTTTTATGTACAAACTTCGCCAACAGGCAAATAAAAATACGGCAACCCCGGGATTCGGTTTATAGTTCAGTATAAACTAAATATTTAAATCTATTATATAGATTTAATGTAGATTTAACAATTTTGGCTATTTATCTTTACCCAAGCCTAGATACTGCACATATACAGGCACATCATTCAAGTTAATAGGAAGAAGACATGCCAAATAGTCAGAAAACAAGGCTATAAAGAGAGAAAAGAATAACTATTCCATTCCTATAATCGTATCAAACATACAAAGTCCCCACACATGAGGATAGAAGGATAACTCAAGAGGCAACCAAATTAGAGACAGAGCAGAACCAAAAAAAGTCCAAGATGAGGAAGTCCAAATCTACTCTATCCGCCTCGCTCACCAAATTCTCTAGCCCAATCTTCATATCTCTTGAGTCCATCGCTGGATACACTAGGTCGAATGGAATACAAACTTGCCTCGAAATCTTGGAAGATAATGGCGCGAATCTGGTCCATGGGTGTGTGTAGGAGGGCCTCACCCAGATTGCGCAGAGGGCCCATGGCCGCATCTTTGGCGAGGGCTGTTATGTCTGAGCCGGAGAAGCCTGGTAAATTATTAATAAGAGATACGAACTAATGTGAGTTTTCTTTTTTTTTTAGGAAACAACATACCTTCTGTCACCTGTACCAGGACCTGGATATCAGCATCGCTTAGCTCGTGGTGCTGGTGACTGAGAAGCTTGCGTATCTGCTGCTCGCGGACATGATGTTCTGGCAAGGGGATGTACTGGCGGCGGACGAAGCGGCGACGTGCAGCCTCGTCGATATCCCAAGGCATATTGGTCGCAGCTAAGACGAGTACACGACTCGCATCGCCTTCTTTCTTCTCGCGACTTGTTTGTTCGCGGCCGGCAGCTGCGCGCTGGAGGTCAGACCATTGAACCAGGAATTCAGTCTTGGAGCGGCGGGAGGCCTCGTGCTCGGAGCCGGATGATCGGGCAGAAAGGAGGGAGTCGATTTCGTCGACGAAGATGATGGATGGAGCGAGGGCTTTGGCCAGCCCGAAGAGGGCGCGCACGAGCTTCTCGCTTTCGCCATGCCATTTGGAGGTTAGACTCGAGGCGGAGATGGAGAAGAATGTTGACTTTGATTCTGTGGCTACTGCTCGTGCGAGCATGGTTTTGCCTGTGCCTGGGGGGCCGAAGAGGAGCATTCCGCGAGCTGGCTCGCGGAGACCAGAGAATAGGTCTGGACGGAGGAATGGGTAGACTACGGCTTCTTTGAGGGCCTTTTTGGCTCCTTCTAAGCCTGCTATGTCATCCCAGTGTACTTCGTCACCGCGTACTACGATGTCGTTCAGGATTTGCTTTGCTGACTGAGGATCCACGCCCCTAGGCAAATTTTCCATGATCTTCAAGATTTCACTGTCTTCTTCCTCATCTTCGTCCCCTGTCTCGCTTGCTATGGTCCGCTGATCTGAAGACTCATGGTCGCTTGATAGTGGTGTCTCTCGCTGTTGGACTGGTGGGGCTTTGCGCCGTATTGGACTATCGCTATTCTTTTGAGATATAGCGAGCCGGTCGACACTGCGATGAAAATCGTCCCCGCTAGCAGATGATGGAGAACCGCGGGTCCTTTCCCCAATTTGGGGAGATCTAGGCGCAGAGCTTGTCCGCGGCATATCGTTGGAAGAATTTACTTCACGGCCAAGCCGAGGAGTCAGAGTCCGAGAAGTATTTGAAATATTCTCAGACTTTGTGGTTTGTATTGGATGGCTTGTCGGTTCCTGGGAAGACCGCAAGGCCACAGGCTTAGGTTTGATGGATGGTTTAGGCACCGTGAAGTCATCCGGGTTCGGCATGGACATTGGATGAGGATGTTGTAGTTTAGGGCTGTCAGGTCGAGGCCGAGGCCCCCGCGGCGGCAGCGGACTAGGAGGCTGAGTAGATGGTCTGGGCGACTGAGTAGGCGGTCTTGGCGAGGACCTCTTCGGAGAAGAACGAGCAGGCTCTCGCAAACGGGCAGCAGGACTTGGGTCCCCAGTGAGATGGTCTCGGGAAGTGCGAGTTCTCGCCTGCCGAGACTCATCCCTAGAATTGGGTCTTGGTTCTAAATCTCGGCGGGAACTGAGATCGTGGGCAGCGGCGCTTTGCCGGGATGACACCAGAGCTGCATCGCTCACAGGCTTCTCACCCGATGGAGGGCGATAGATGCTTCCCCATGCTAGGCCCGCAGCTGTGGAGGCAGCAGGCCTCATGTCTTTCTTCTTTGATGCTACCTTGACTTTCTTGCCATTCTTCTTGGCATCGCTGCTGCGCAGAGTTGTCAACATGGGTTTCCGGCGCTCGGGACTGGAGCCACGCGACTTCGTTCTGCCCGAAGAGTTCGAGTTCACACGCAGTGCAGGTGTACCGGCTGCTGATAGGGTCGCTGGACCAGCATCGTCATGAAATGGCGGCGACTCATGGCTTTGTTTCGTCGGCAGCCCAGGACGGCCAGGTATGGCGGCTGGTTTGGAAAGGTCGGTGTAGCCCACAGCAGGGATTGTTCCATCTCCGATCCAGCCAGGAGTGTTGGAAGGTGATGGCGACGGCATGCTGGGGACGGACTTGCCCTTGACGAGGGTGGCCTTCTCTTTACTGCCATTTGCCTCTGCAGATTCTTTCCTGCTTGCTTGGAGAGCGCTCAGTAGATCAACCCGTTCTCGGCATTGAACCTCTAGCGCCCGGATGGAGTCCTGCAGGGCTTTCTCTGTTTCAGATTTCGGGGTATAATGTGACGGTACACGGCGGGCATTGTGATGGTAGATAGTCTCGAGGGCAGATCTCCAGGACCGCAATGCTTCCTCTTCATTGTTCTAAGATAATGAGCTTCGGGGAACGGGTGTCGGGACTAGAGGACTCACTTGGCCTTCAAAGTACACGGCGGTGGAGCACGCGAGATAGCAATCGTCGTACGTCTTCTGCAAGGAAGACGCAGGCCGTGGGCGCATCATTGGGAATAATCAGGCCCGCCTGAATCCATTTCACGACAAGTTGGTGGAGTTGGTGAAAGCGATGATCTCCCGCAGATGAGGGGGGAGGATTTTTCGCGTGACGTCGTCGTTTCGGAGAGTTTACTGCATGCGGCCAGTGAACTATGTAGGGTTGTAATGGGAATTTTTTTTTATATTAAAATGGTCATCTCTAACATTCCTCACATCTATGGGTACATGCAAGATACAAAAAAAAAACATAAAGTTATAGTGATGCCACAGAGAACCCAGCCCTTTCGAAAGAAACCAAAAATAAAGAAAACCCGAGGTTTTTCCAACGCCGGTCACAGTAAGGACACATCGAATGGAGAGAGCATCGAAGAATCCAAAAGGAAAAAAAAAGCACCAGATTTAATCTCCGAAGTCGAAAGTGGTCGTGTCCCCGTTTTTCCAAAACTATACATTGCCGACAACGCTTCTCATAAAAAAGCCCTAAACATGCAAGAAGATCGAAACCCGGGCTCTGGCCCGGGATGCGCCACAAGGAGGGTTGCTAGGCTCCGCCTAGCCTCCCCAAATCCAGAACATATTGTAAAAGAACAGACCCATGTCGCCCAAGAGATCAAAGAAAGATTATATGGTGCCCACACAAACGTGGTATATCGAACAAGTAGCAGATCCACCGGGAATGGTAGATAGGACCAATGGCGGCCGTGCGAGAGGATCGAATCAGTGTTTTTAGTCGAGGTGCTTCTTGAAGTATGCCTTGGCCATCTCATAGGATGTCCTAGAAAAGAAGTCAGTAAATGTTCATGATCAAAAGTACCGAGTCTCAGAATGGGACGTACCAGCAAATCGCAGTGCTCGGCATAGTGGAAATAATACGAGGGCGCATTCCACGCAGGAATCCAGACCAGCCAAATCGGCGCTTGATGATGGCAGCGGCGTTGAACAGACCCTTTGCGGACCGCACCTCCTCGCTCTCTGCGAGGCCACGGGTCTGAAGGAGCGTCTTTACGACGTCAAGAGGAGTGGTAAGACCAGCTGCGAAGGCACCGGCCAGACCACCTGCGATGCAGTGGGTGAATGGGTCGTAATCACCCTTGGGGTTCATGACCTTCGAGATCGACTCGTAGGCAACGAATTGAGTGGCTGTGAAGGGCACGGTCATGCAAAGTGTGGTAGGGTAGGAGACGTAGAAGGCCTGGAGACCTTCGGTGCGATAGAGGGTCTTGGCGCATTGCGCGAGGGTCTTGTGAACTGAGCCGTGAACCTGCATGCGCTGCTTCATGACTAGAGAATGGGTTAGCTGGGCGTATTTATTGCCTCGCACGGGGTCACTTACCATCGAAGGGGTTCATCAGCGCATCGCTGGCAATGGTAGCGGCCGCTCCACTCATAGCTGCATGATCATCACGTCAGTCGTTGCACAAAAAAATCGATTCAAAAGTTTGTCCGAAATCTTACCGGCAGCCAAGGGGTGATGTCCGTCGTCGACATTACCACCAGCCATATCCTTCACGATCTCATATGTACCGAAGTACACAGCGTGTGCGGGACCTATCGCGCATCAGATTTGAGTATTTTTAACCCAGGGCCACAATATACACACCTGCGCCGACAATCACACTCGAGACTCCCTTCCATAGTGTCCGCCAGCCCTCAACTCGATAGATTGTAGAAACCGCGTTCGTCAATCCCGTGTAGAGACCGCCAGCTGAGGGGGTCAAGATTTGCATACGAGTCTAGCGATGGCCAAATAGTCAGCGCTCAATCCTTTTTCCTTCCACTGCCTTCAACCAAAAATCAAGCTTACCTTGAGCAAGTCAACAGGGTACATCACCGAGTGTTCCTTTTATCCGATCAGCCAAAAATCCACACCCACACCCCCTAACCTTGTAAACATACCGCTATCCCCGCGAAAGCACCAGCTAACATATTCCGGCTAAGGCCATAGTTGGAAGGAAGGGCTTCATAGCTAAAACAGGTTATATCGCATTAGCTTAGGCCACACATTCCCGCAAAGCGACAGGGCGAAGAAAGTCAGGATGCTCAACGGGGACAATCAAGCATTCGCTGGAGCACATCATATCAGAAAATAAGATGTGCTTGTCCCCATGCTCATTCCAGCTTCCAGCGTTCCCGATGGCCGATTGCCTGGAGAAGAAAAAAATCCATCGGAGAGCGACATACTCGAATTCCTGTCCGGGGATCTGATCGGAAGCCGCCATGGAGCTTCCGCTAGCTCAAGGCGCAGCTGTAGCAGATGAAGAGTTCGGGCGGAGAGGAAGGGAGGTGGTTGACGGAGGTGGAAGAAAGGAAAAGTGAAGACGAGATAAACGGGGACTTGTCCGTGGAGATCCCGAGGAACACAGGGACAATGCCAACAGAACAAAAACAAAATGCCAACAATAAATGCGAGAAATGAAGCAATGAATAATTAGAAGTTCTTTTTTCTTTTTTTTCTTTATTGAACAGAATAATTGGAGAAGAAAAGAATTGGAAATTCAGTTTGGAGACAAATACCGGGAAAAGGCGCTAGGGAAATTATTCACGGACTTGCCCAAGTTGGCTATTGCATTATTCTGTTCTATTAACTAATTTTCTACAGAGTAATACAGAGAGAGTACTACGGAGTACATTATTCCTATATATTGGCTTATTCTCCTTACTTCTCTATTACCTAGAGAATGTATAAATGCCTACATGCGTCCATGTGTATTCCTCTCAGGCCCTGCCTCGGATCTCACATGAACATCCATGTCAAAATTTACTTAAAGTATCTCCGGGACTTCCGATGACGGACAGATCCCAGCACTTTTTATGTAAAGTACTATGTTGGTACCTTTATAGTGTAGCAACCACGGTAAAGGTACATAATCGGTACACATTTTTATCAATCTGATAAGAAACCCCCTTAAGCCATCAGTTCGCCCTTGACCACATTTCGCCTAACTCATATTGAGTGGAGCTTCGACTTGTTCGAGAAGGATTTTATTTTCTACATCCCTTCCGAGGTTATCACCTTTACATATACGGAGTAGGTGTTGTATATTGTATATTGTATATTGCATAGTGTATATATTATCTATCTGTCCATTGTTAACTTTGTCTTTTCAACTTGGCATCGGAGAAAGAGAAAGCAGAACACGCGACTTTCCACTAGGAGAAGCCGAGGCCCGTGTGGACTCCAAGCCGCAAACTAAACTCATCTGGTCTACATTGGCTCCGATTCTGTTGAGGCGCCCCCCCCTGTTTCGTATATAAGAATTTTACACTCCATAGTCTCAATACCACTACTCCGTATTGATATGTTCGAAGGCATGCGTTGAATGGGAGAAGTTCACTGCTAGCTGCCTGTTATAATAACCCCGAAGATAATCATTCATGTAAAATACCGCTGCGCCTAAACTCAAGGCAATGAGGAAAGAGAAAACAGAGTCTGTGATGACAACACCAAAGGAAAAGCCCTCATTAAATGAGGATACATGCATGTAATTCGAGGTAATTGGAGGAAGCAGGAAACAAAAATAAACCCATTCCGGCCCTAGAGATGGATGCATAATGAGACCGTTGCTGCTGCAAAACCAGTGCAAGGGCGAGGATCTCAAGGGCTCAAGAGGTCAAGGGTGGAGGGAAAGGGGGGAAAAAAAGGTATGCTGAAACTTCTTATAAAGGAATAGATGTCGTTCAGGTCGTCAAGATCTCCGTAGTCTACAGCAGGGCGGAGGTTAGGGTGGTAATTCACCACTCAATGTTAAACGACCACTCTCCTATAAAACACGTGTTAGCAATGTAGTGAAACCACATCCGAGTTTCCCACTTACCATTCTTCAAGTTCTCAGCAGTATCGCTTAATAAAATTACCCGGCGCTTGTTGCAATAAGCAGTCTTGTCCAGGATATCAACTTTCAGCCCTGCCAAATCGGCAACTGGCTTCTCGAACATCTCACTGAGACTCTCAACGGCCATCTCCAGATCCTTTTGATTATCCTCAAATATCTCTGTCAGGTTGTTGCGAGCAAGGTAGAATGCAAATGCATAAGTCCACTTCAAGGTCTGGCGACACTGCTGCAGGGCCTGCGATGCGGTGTCTAGGAACTGCACCTCAATCCAGGACAGACCAGACTGCGACTGAAGGCTGGTCATCTTCTTTTCGGTCTTGAGGTACAAATCCTTGTCGAGCTTGGCAGACTGCTCATGATTCGCATACCGATTATAGTAATGCAGGTATCGCTCCAAGGAGGAACGCGATTTGGCTTGAGCACTGCGAGCGTCTGCGCCTGACTTTTCTTCGTACCGGTTGCAGTTATACCAGCTCGTGCCATGCTCGGACCAGAGACCCATGCACATCCAGCAGAACTCGTACTTGCATTTGCGACAAGTCATGTGGTTACAGCCGCCATTCTTCTCGATCGTCGAATTACACTTAGTACACTCTTTGGTGTTTGCCGAGATCCAGTTGGCCGTTTCGGAGTCATCTTCACATTTCTGTAGCCACATCTTGACCAGCGTGCATGGAGCGGGCTGATGGTCACTGAGGGAGCAGCCGAAGCAGAACTCGTGCTTGCAAAAACATCGCACTGTTGGAACTATACGACGGAGATCACGGTTCTTTACCCCGCAGTCAATGGCATATTGGCAGTTTGGTGCTGGACACCATTTTAGGTTTTCTTTATCGTCAACGTAGGTCCGAGTTAGAAGTTCGCGGTATCTGTAGAGATGTGTTAGCGAGCCTTTCGCCTAGAAACTAGCAAAATAAATACCCACCTTCCTTGAAGCTCCTTTGTCACAAGTAGATCCAGTGACTTGTAGTCCACGATGCGATTACAGCCATCGCCTGGACACTGAATTCGGCCAGCCTCTCCTTCCTCCTTAATTTTCTGCCCCAGGTAGTGCCGATAGCAGTCGACGCAATATCGGTGACCACAACGCATGGCATACGTCTCGAGGTCATCGCCGTCCTCGCAGCAGATGTCACACATGAACCCCGGGACGATCTCAGTCTTTGCGGTCCCCTCGAAGTTCGACCCAAGACCAGCCTCCTCTAGCGTCTCCTCCGGATGCTCCATATAAGACTCTATCAACTTTTCTTTGTTCCACCGGCCGAACCGCAACAAGATCGCCACCGACTCAGGTGGTAGCCCAAGTATGGCGCAAACCTCGTTGACCTGGCCAAGCTGTTCATGATCGATATCGTGAGGGTCGAGAACCTTGTACTCGACTTCATATGGCTTCTTTTTATGTTTGATGAGGTCTTTATCGTCCGAAAACCCGGCGTCGAGATCATCGAAGTCTGCTTCCAGGCACAGCTTGTTAGTCACCATTCTCAAGACACAGGCATATACAAAAGAAACAACACAAAGATCTGACGGGCACGCACCTTCACCTAAGCTCTCGTCATCAGAGCCCTGGGTACCCAAGAAATCATCCTGGCTAGAGACGTCGCTCATGAACTCATCGTCGGAGTCCATGCTGGCAGTGGTGGGTGTGGATGGCCTCTTTTTCGGGCCGGAACTGATGGGGTTTTCTCTCTCTGTATTCTCTATTGCGGTGGTTGTTGACTTGTGGGAGTGGGAGGTAGAAGAGGCTTTCCGATCGCCGTGGGCGGCTTTTGGCAGTGGCTCGTCCGCAATCGCCTCAGCCGCCTTTCTCTTTCGCGTTATTGGAGGCGTGGTGAATGTAGCGGCAAAAAATGCCGACAAGGGATGTTTTAAGGAGCCACACGTCACTGGGTAAAACCTGTGACGGAGGGGAGTGGGGAAGCGTAAGATCTCCAAGGCCCCGAAGGCGGCTCGAACCGGGCTTCGAAGGACTTGCGGGATATTTTTTTAATTGATATTCTACGTAGCAAACATTGAAAAAAACATTGAAAAAAACATAGAAAATTTTGTAAACATCAGCTGATGTCTCTCACAGGCCCTCAGCTTGACTCAGATATGATTCATTCTTAAGGTTGGCGTTTGTTAGCTTGACCCTAGCCTTGTTTGCCTAGGCTTCCGTCCATGGCTTTTCAAAGGAGATAGGGCTTTGGTGCCTATATCTGACTCTAACAAACTAAGATTCTAATCTTAACTTCAACATTTAATATGTTGTACATTTTATTCATAGAGGAAATTGGAAGGCATAATTGGAATTTAATTTGAAAACATTTGTGGTATCTACTCATCATCACTCTCCTCCTCAGATTCTTCTTCGGATTCTTCCTCGCTACTCTCCTCTTCAGCCTCGGCGAGCCAATCAACAAATTGCTGGGTCTGGCTGCGGACAGCCCGCATCTCCTCGGTGCTACTAGAGCGCTCATCGTTCCACCACTGGTCATAAGCCTCCTCCTCAATAAGCTCAAGTTCATATAGAGACTTGGCAGTAAAGAGAAGGACGGTTTCGCCCTTGTTACGATGAATCAAATCATTTTGGAGCGCGAGCAGCAGATCAACCTGGTCCTTTTTCTGCTCCTTGTTGCGATCGAATAGAGTACGCTCAACAACCTCCTTGTATGCTGTGAAGACCGAGAGAACTGCCGGACCGGCACCCTTGCCACTCTCCATGAGCTGCTGGATGTGCTTCATGAACGATGTCACGATGGCCCGACGGACCTGGTTGTCTGAGGCGTTGGCACTCATACGAAGCGTGACCAGCTCCAGCTGCACCACATCTGCTGCAACGCCTTCACGCAGACTGTCGAACAAGCTGACTGATGCGTCGTGGTGGAAATTGTCTGAATCTTCGTCTGCAGAGAAACTGCTCCGCTCAGATCGTGCCCAAGAGGTATTTGAGACCTCAGATGACAGTGTTGAGATGGAGGCGGAAGAGAGTGAGAGACTGGGCATGCGGTACACTGTAGATAGCATAGAGTTAGCAAGATGGACCCGAAGAGATACACTAGGAGATAACATACCAAGTCCCGATGAGGCTACGCTCACATCATCCTCCTCATCTTCCTCTTCCTCGCCGTGAATAAACTCATAGCCCTCGCCTCCTTCGCCAACAACTGCGGGATCATTCTTGCCAACGCTGCCGTCGTTTCGAGTTTTCGTGATACGCTTCCCACTCTCCACCCAGATGTTATCTGCGATTTTCACGCCATAAGAAATAAGCGCTCCGGATGCAATGGTACAATGCTTGCCAAGAACCACGCCATCGGCGATAATCGCCCCACGCACGTCTGAGTTGTCGCCGATCACAACGTCGTCCCAAATATAGGCACCATCCAGCTTGACATTGCGGCCAATTTTACAGTTTCGACCGAGCACGGAGTTGTGGACTTCTGCCCGGTCTCCAATGCTCGTGCCTTTTCCGATGACTGTGCGGCGCCCAATGACGCAGGAGCGTGCCAGGGTTACCCCGGTTTCTTGGTACATGCTACCCTTACGAAGGGTGTACGTGTGACCAGGGAGCAAGTTCGTATCCGGGCACAAGGGATATGTCCAGCGTGAGAGAATGTCCTTGCTTATCGCATCGTAGGCCTTCAGGTTGCGCACGCGCGCAGCGTAGTGGTCCTTGATGATGTATGTGTGTAGTGTCTTGCCGTTCAGCTCATAGTCCTTCAAAACGCCGAACAAGTAGTGCTTCCGCGGCGATTGGTAATCGAAACTGTCCGACCATAAGCTCAGCACGTCCGGGGTGCAGATATCGATGCTGCAGTCAATCAAGTCTTGGCGGATATCTAGTTCGGGGTGTTTGAGTATAATTTCGGCGTCAATGTTCAGACGAGACAATTGCTCGTCATCTGGATGGCGGTCGATTTCCTCGTAGTGGAGGCATCGGTCCTTGGTAGGGTCAATGACGAAAATCGGGGAAACCGAGGTGGACTTGGTCCTGTGCTGCAGGCCAGCCTCCCTTAGAACCATGGTCATGATCGCATTCTTGTCAAGCGCTCGACGGGCCCGGTGTTGAGCCAATGCGCCTTCGATGGGCAGGTTGCTGATCACGTCGCCGCTCACGACAATGAAGTCTCCAGTAATGAGGTGCTTGCCGTCCAGGTCGCGCATAACGTCACCGACAGAAGTCGAAGTCGACTTAAGGAAGGTCAACTGCTTGAACGGAGAAGACAGGGCCCTCCATTTCGACGCACTAGCAATATAGGTCAGCTCTGCTATCCGTATCAGAGGGAGTCCCTAGGGAAACGTACTTGATGTATTTCTCCAGCTGATCCGAGTGCGCTCCTCCGTAGAGAAAGACCTCCTCCACGCCTGCATTGGCTAGAAATTCGAGAGTATATTCGATCAAGGGGGTATTTGCGAGCGGCAAAAGGCACTGTGATCATTTGATTCGTTAATTGCGAGGTCTTGGGGCAGAAATGTTTTGCTGTGGGGAACGTACACGAGGCTTGTCGCGGGTGAATGGCTCGAATCTCGTCTCGAAGGTATCTGCGAGCACCTAACCAAAGCCACAAGTTAGTCAATCATATAACCCATTAAGAGGACTTCGGCGAGAACAGTCACGCAAACCACCTGCCAACTGCTAGACTTACCACAGCTTGAAATGTCTCTTCCACTTCCTCCGCCGAATTGGGCTTCGGCTTTTGCCCAGCCTTCTGCTTGGGAGCCATTGCTGCAAGGATTGTCAGCAACGAGTTATCAATCTACAGGACCGCAAGAACTAGTTCTCGTGAAGAGCCTGTAGGAAAGCGGTAGGGTGGTTTTACGTTAAATGTATCAACAACCCTTTGAACGCAAAGTTGGCGCAAGTAGTCTGAGAGGTGTCGGGATCGGTCTTTAGATACTGTCGCCAGAAATAGCACCAAAGAAACGCGACGATCTTGTTATCAAAGAAGAGCACAAAAAAGCCTCGGAGTCATCCCGCCCACTTGTTTGCATTGTTTGCACGCCACTTCGATCAGATTTATTGCCTGAGGCAGAAGGTCCTGAATAGGTTTAATCTACTCCGTATTGTAGATCACTCTTCACAGAATGAATGTGATTTAGTAGAATATTGGCAGTCTCATAGTTAAGCCGACACAGAGATCTAGGTATTTCTCGTTACACAAATTAGCAACTAAGCCTGATGCACATATCCCTTACTTTTTAGTCTTTTGATTCTTTTACACGTGAGAGGATCTTGTAACAAATGCAGAAATGACCTTAGCGGAGGAGGTATCAAATAACTTAGAGATAAAACCCAAACGAAACGCCAACGAAACGCCAAACCAGGCACGAAATATATCAATCCAGCAACATTGAACATGAGGCATCAAAACGAAGGCTTATATTAGACATCTCCACATTTGACGAATTGGACAAAAGTGAAATCAAACAGGTGGCTCAACTGTCTGCAGTGGAACATAACCATCATCACCCCGACCAGCCGGCATGGGTCCTTTGCCAGTGACAAGAGACCAAAGCGAAGAGATAACATTCCCAACACGACGACGTAGAGAGCGAGGGCTATACTCGAAAATAGTAGTAGAAGCCCACCAGCTCACCTTGCGGGCATGACGGCGACGCGCCACATCAGCCGCAGAGATTGCACCTGAGCGAAGCTCCTTCTCAAGACGCCCAACCTCCATCCAAGACGGCCGACGCCAGAACTTCAATAGGAGACTGCTAACAACGACAGAGACACTAGAAAGGGCCATGGCAGCACCGGCAGCCATGGGAGGTAGCATGAAGCCCGTGAAGGGGAGGAAAAGGCCCATGGCGAATGGAAGGCCGATGATATTGTACATGCAAGCCCATATTAAGTTCATCTTAATGCGTTTGAAGACCGTGCGCGAGAGGGAGAGACTGGCTGGTACAGATAGCAGATCGTCCGGACGCATGAGGACAATATCAGCAGCCTCCACGGCTACGTCTGTGCCGGATGCGAGAGCGATTCCGACGGATGCCGTGGCCAGCGCGGGAGAGTCGTTGATGCCGTCGCCAACCATGGCGACACGCTCGCCTTCTGCTTGGAGAGCGGAGACGATTGAGCGTTTCTCGGATGGAGAGACGGAGGCGTGGATTGAAGCGGTTGGGATTCCGACTGCTGTGGCGATTCCCATCGCCGTTGAGAGCGTGTCGCCTGTTACCATGGAGGTCGAGATCCCCATGCGATGCAGGGCCGCTACTGCCGCGACGGCTGTCTCTTTCACTGTGTCTCGGAGGGAGATGGTTCCGGCGTAGCTGTTGTCGATTGCGACGTGGATTTGTGTAATGCCGGACGCGGTGTCACCAGGCTTGGAGACGTCAGCCTCCGGGTCTTCGACAGGCTCCGCGGAGTCGGGATCTACATCAGCCGGTACAGGGACGTCTTTGGAGCGGAGAAAGTTGGCGTTGCCAAGGAGGACATGGTGCCGGATACGCTGGCCGCTAGATGGAGGTTCAACGATGGCGGAGACACCTTGACCAACACAGTTGTCAACGTCCCCCACACTCCCAGGCAACCCATCTTCTCCAGGATGGCCTGATTCGGTTATGGCCGCAGAGAAGATCGCTCGTCCGATGGGGTGTTCACTGCCTGTCTCTGCGAGACCAACAATAAGCCACCAGATCTGACGGCGCCAGTCGTTCATTGTCCATTGAGGTTCAATTTGGGTGTGAGCCACGCTCATCCGACCTGTAGTCAGGGTGCCCGTCTTATCAAAGACAACATGAGTAACTTTAGTGGCAGCTTCTAGCACGGCACCTCCCTTGACGAGGATTCCATGCTCCGCGCCAACGCCGGTACCGACCATGACCGCGGTCGGGGTGCTCAAGCCTAAAGCACAGGGGCACGCAAATACAATGACCGAGATGCACAGCTTCAAACAAACCATGACTCGGCCACCATTGCCTGCCATTTCAAAGATTGTGGGCGGATGAGGCAATACATGACTGAGGAACATCCAGCCAAAGAATGTGATCAAACCAAGACAGACGATGGCAGGGACAAAGTAGCCAGCAACAATATCAGCCATGCGCTGAATTGGAGCACGGCTCGTCTGCGCGTCCTGTACCAACTTTACAATCTGGCTCAACTGGGTATCCTTGCCTGCTCGAATGACTTTGAAATCAATGGAGTTTGTGCCGTTCACAGTTCCGGCAACGATCTGACTGCCTTTCTTTTTGTGAATAGGTAGCGCCTCTCCGCTGAGCATACTCTCGTCAACATAGCTTTCGCCCCGGATGACCACACCGTCCGCAGATACCTTATCTCCGGGGTGGAGAATAACAACATCACCGACTTGAATCAGCTCGGTGGGAATGCACTTTTGATTCACCGTCATGTCATCAGCTAACTTGGGTTGCTGAGGTGCGCCAGGTGTAGGTTTGGAGGACCAGCGCTCAGCCATTTTCTCTGCCGCAATGGGATCTTCATAGATAGTCGTCATAGATGGAGTCAGACACATGAGCCTAGAAAGAGCAGCGGAAGTTTGGCCCTTGGCTCGATTCTCTAGCCATCGGCCCAAAGTGATAAAGGTGATAAGCATCGTACTGGTGTCAAACACGGTGCTAGGACGCCCGTGGTCCATGCTGCAAAGAGCCACAATCATGGTGAAACAGCTGTAAAAGAAGGCAGCGGACGTGCCTAGCATCACGAGAACGTCCATGGTTGGGGATCGATGCTTGAGGGACTTGAAGCTGGTGACATAAAACCGCTTTCCAATGCCGAACTGCACCGGAATGGTAAGAGCGAGACAGATTAGATCTCCGAGATATAGGCCGGGGAACAGTGCAATACTGCCAAAGTCAATTCCGGGCAAATACATCGGAATAATCATACTGATGAGGAAGACGGGGACCGCAAAAGAGGCGGCGATGATGAAGGATCTTCTCCAGTCTTGGATTTCCTTCGTTTTGGACAATGATTGCAGCTGTGCGTTGGTATCATCTGAGTCGACAATCAAGGCGTTGTAGCCAGCAGCCTCGATGACTTCCACAAGAGACCGGATTCCGATTATAGACGGATCGAAAGCAATGACCATATGAGAGGTAGCCATTTTTATTGATGCTGAATGGACACCCGATTGCTGCAATATATTATCTTCCAGCGCTGTGGCGGAAACGCCGTCCCGCAGCCCATGCAAGCTCAAATTGATCTGCTGTTTGTTTTTGGAAATTGACGCCTGCGCCTCTGATGACACGATCGACGCATCGAAGCCGGCATCTTCAACAAGATCCGGAATTTTGCTGGCAGGGAGTATGGTGGGGTCGTGCACAACCACCGCCCGCTCAGCCAGAAGACTGATGTTGAACTGGACTACCCCATCCACACTACCCAAGGCCCCCTGGACGCTAGATGTGCAAGCGCCGCATGTCATGCCTCCGATTGCGATGGTGGTAACCAGAAGTCCTGATTTCTCTTCCGAGCCAGCCGATGGAGATGGCCCCTTGGAGCCCACCAGGGAAGTGTCCAGCACTCGCGCTCCAAAGCCTCGATCTTCAATGAGCTCTGCGATCTGCTCTGATGTGATAATTTCTGCATCGTGTTCCACGACTGCGCGCTCGGAAAGCAGTGATACGTCTACGGAGTTCACACCGCTGACATCGTTCAACCCGCTTTCCACTGCAGACGTACATGCCCCACATGTCATACCCTCAACCGCCAGGGTGGTCAGCGAGAGTCGCGTAGCCGGAGAAGAAGCAGAGTCGGGATTCCTTTGTTCCTCGGTCGAAAGTACTGCTGCATCGAACCCGCAGTCCTCAATCATTTCTGCGATTTTCGCAGGCGGTAACACTGACGGATCATGTTGTACAGCGGCCCTGCCCATGATGAGACTGACGGAAACATCGCGCGCACCGTCTACTCCTTTGAATGCGCCCTCCACTGCTGATGTGCAGGCTCCGCAAGTCATTCCGTCGATCTTGATAGTTGTGGTGGTTATTGCGGCTCGACTGACCCCGCCGGCGTGCGGATTTGTAGATAACATCTCGACGGTGAAGCGCGAGGCGAGCACGGCGAGGAACGACGGTACTATAGCATATGGAGAGTGTCTGACGAACTGCCTCCGACACGATGGTGGAGGGTGATAGCGTGCTGATGTTCGGATGGTCACGGATGGCGCAAGATTAGAGAGATCATTCCCTTGTTGGGCAAACTAAGGGAGCTGCAGAAGTTAAAAAAGAAATAGTGTGCCCAGGAAGCCACGTCGGTCGAATTTAATCAAAAACTTGGCCAAAGTCGCAAGGGGAGAGAAAAAGTAAAGTGGATATGCTCGGGAATAGGACTCGATGTGGACCACATCTACCACGCTATGGAATGTATAAGTCCGCAATGCAATATAGCTTGCGCAGCTGATTAGGCGGATTTTCAATTAATTTCGTAATTAAGAAATGGTGAACAGAAATTTCATGGAAGGCCTGAAACATACTAAGCAATGCGAAAACAAGTTGGTGTTTCAAATATCTACAGAAATGAACCTTGTTACGGTGTACACTTGCGTCGGCTTATTGTCGCTGATTCTAGGAGTACATACTCCGTACTCCGTATATACCTTGCAGAATGAGGGGGCTTTGCATGATGACTGCATCTAATTAATTTAACAGATTTACTAGTCGATCCGAAATGAAATCCAACAATGGAATAGAATGAAGAAAATAATAAAAATTAAGATAAAAAATTGTCCTTAAGGCTGGACTGTAGGTAAATCAG